TGGCTGGGGAGTGGGAAGTGGGAGAGCTGACTTAAAGGGTACAAAGTCCTGGGTACGTGGGATAAATAATTTCTGGGAGTCTAGTATACAGCACAGGGAGTACAGTTTAAAATACTGTATTGAATACTTGACATTTGCTAAAAGTGTAGCTCTTAGATATTCTCACCACACATAGGGAAATAATGACGGCAGGCGATGTGCAGGTTAATTAGAAATTAAAGTGGGGATGTTACTACCAATTTTACTGAAATGACAAGCTATCAGAGCATATTATGAACAATCGTACACCAACAACTTGAATAATCCAGATGACATGGACATTGGCTTGACTGTGGTAATCATTTACAACATTCACATATCAGAGCATCACAGTGTACACTACTAATACAATTTTCATTTGTCAATTACACCTTGATAAAGCTGGAAAAAAGTAAAATAAAATCCCAAGAGGTCTTCGTAATAAAATGCTACTTGCATTATCAATTTGGGGGAAAAATATTATGTCATCCACCTGTTGATCTGAGGCCACACACAATCTATTCTGGATTAATGAATGCTGTACTATTTAATTATAAATTACTAAATAAAAAATAATTAAATAACTATTGTACTCAATCCTTAAATTGGCTGGGTTTCTCTTAAACTGTAGTCTAACTCATTCTATGAGGCCAGCATAAGCCTGATACCAAAGATAGAAAGTAAACTACAGAACAATATTCCTGATAAATGTTGATGCAAAAATCTTCCACCAAATTCCATCAATCTGCATTTGACAGCATATTAAAATGATTATACATCATTTCCATGTGGGCTTCATTCCCAGAATGCAAGGATGGTTCAACATACAAAAATCATTCAGTCTAATACACCACATTAAAAGAATGAAGGACAATAACACCTGATTATTTCAACTGATGCAGAAAAAGCACTTGACACAATGTAACACTTTCAAGATAAAAACAAAGAAGCAAAAGAAATGACTTCGACATAATAAAAGCCATATATGAGAAACCCACAGATAATATCAATGATTAAAAATTAAAAGTTGTTCCTCTAAGATCAGATATAGGACTAGGATAGCCACTCTCACCACTTCTATTAAAAGGAGGTATAGGGGCCGGTAGGTGACAGGGTGGTTAAGGGTGCTGGACTTGCACATGGCCGACCACAGTCCAAGTCCCAGACCTGGTGGCTTGTTTTCTCGCTTTCTCTCTCTCTCTCTCTGTCCCTCTATGCTCAAATTAAAAATAAATAAATAAACAAAGTTAAATAAAATAATTCTTTTTTTTTTTAAAAAAAGGAAGGTATATATATGCACCATTCACCACAGATGGACAATTAGGTGGGTGCCATATCTAAGATACTGTTAACAGTTCTGCAATGAACATAGAAGTGCATATATCTCTTCAACACCCACACACATAAAATGAAATATTTTAAAAGAAGAAAATCCTGTCATTTATAACAACAGGGATAAACTTCGAAGGCATATTGTCAAATAAGCCAGGCACAGAAAGATAAATCCTGCATGATCTCACATGTGTGCGGAAGGTGAGACAGGAGAACTCAAAGCAGAGAGCGGGGTGGTGCTTGCTGGTGGCTGGGGAGTGGGAAGTGGGAGAGCTGACTTAAAGGGTACAAAGTCCTGGGTACGTGGGATAAATAATTTCTGGGAGTCTAGTATACAGCACAGGGAGTACAGTTTAAAATACTGTATTGAATACTTGACATTTGCTAAAAGTGTAGCTCTTAGATATTCTCACCACACATAGGGAAATAATGACGGCAGGCGATGTGCAGGTTAATTAGAAATTAAAGTGGGGATGTTACTACCAATTTTACTGAAATGACAAGCTATCAGAGCATATTATGAACAATCGTACACCAACAACTTGAATAATCCAGATGACATGGACATTGGCTTGACTGTGGTAATCATTTACAACATTCACATATCAGAGCATCACAGTGTACACTACTAATACAATTTTCATTTGTCAATTACACCTTGATAAAGCTGGAAAAAAGTAAAATAAAATCCCAAGAGGTCTTCGTAATAAAATGCTACTTGCATTATCAATTTGGGGGAAAAATATTATGTCATCCACCTGTTGATCTGAGGCCACACACAATCTATTCTGGATTAATGAATGCTGTACTATTTAATTATAAATTACTCCAATTTTACTGAAATGACAAGCTATCAGAGCATATTATGAACAATCGTACACCAACAACTTGAATAATCCAGATGACATGGACATTGGCTTGACTGTGGTAATCATTTACAACATTCACATATCAGAGCATCACAGTGTACACTACTAATACAATTTTCATTTGTCAATTACACCTTGATAAAGCTGGAAAAAAGTAAAATAAAATCCCAAGAGGTCTTCGTAATAAAATGCTACTTGCATTATCAATTTGGGGGAAAAATATTATGTCATCCACCTGTTGATCTGAGGCCACACACAATCTATTCTGGATTAATGAATGCTGTACTATTTAATTATAAATTACTAAATAAAAAATAATTAAATAACTATTGTACTCAATCCTTAAATTGGCTGGTTTTCTCTAAAACTGTAGTCTTTTTAGCTGGTCATCTTAAAAAAACAATGAAAATACAATTAAGAAAAATTATATGGAAATATGCAGGCAGTAGAACAGAGGAGAATAGACTGGGAGAAATCGCTCCGTCTAAGATCAAGGTTGACTCTGCAGCTGCGGTGATCGAGACAGCGTGGTGCCGGCAGAGGTAAGCACACAGGCCAAAGGGCTCACGCGGTAGGGAGCTCACACCCACACGGCCACGCCCCACTGACTTCTGACGAAACACAAAGGCAATTCGATGAAGGAAGAATAGTCTTCAACAAATGGCACGTGAGCAACTGGACATAAGTAGACCAAAAAAAAAAAAACCAAAAACCTCAACCCAAACTCATCCTGTATACACAAATTGACTCCAGATTGACAATGGGCTGACATGACACAAAAAGCAGGAGACAATCTTCAGTTTCAGGCTAAGCAGAGACGACGCTGAAAACGCAGTCCATTAAAGAATGAGTACCTAGATGGAAACTCATCAAAATTCAAACCTTTTTGTCTCAGAAACATCCTGTTAGGGTATTGAAAAGTCATCTTACTTAAGAAGTGTTTGCCTGCCCCAGGGAATCATGAACAGGCTCTTGGCCTGGTGGTCATTAGGGAACTCAAACCGCAGTGAACTATCACTCCACAGGCATGAGAACAGGGAAATGAAAAACAGCGACGATACCAAACGCGGTAGAGATGCAGAGGAACCGGACCACTCATCACCGGCGCAAATGTAAAACGGCACAGGCGCTGCAGAAAGCAGCCCATAATTCCTGACAAAGTCCGACTCACAATGACCATACTACCCAGCAATGACACTTGAGGGTACTTTTCACACGTAAGTGAACTTAGCTTCACACGAAAGCCCGCCAATGCAACTTCATTTATAATTGCCAGGCACTGGCAAAGGGCCAGGTACATAGGTGAATGGGGCCGAGCAGGAACATGAACATGCAGGAACAGCCCACACGCCCGGCATGACGAGGTAAACAAACTGGCACATGGGACCCGGCCCATCACTACAAAGCAGTGAACTATTCACACACAGAACAGCCCAAGCGAATCTCTAAAGAAGTATACTGAGTGAAAAAAGCCGATGCTAAAATGTACGATCCCATCTAGAGAACATACACAAAAGGACAAAATTTTAGAAATGGAGAACATACCAGTGGTTGCGAGGGATCGGGAATGACCCCTATGAAAGGAAGAAATGTGAAAAAGGCAGAGGCGTTGATGAAAGAGCAACACCGGGCTTGTGCTGGAAGAACTGGTTACTATCTGTACGGCTGTGATATCTACACAAATTTACATGTGACTATAACGCATCAAACCGCACACACACACGTTCTGTACAGACATGAGTACAAGTCGACTTTATCAAGGCCAATCTCCTGCTTGCAATACGATACCAGAGTTTTGCTAAATGTTACCTTTGGAGAATTCTGGGTAAAGAATATTTGGAGACCTCTGCATTATTTCTTACAACTACATGTAAATCTGTAATTACCTCAATCAAAATATCACTTCAATAAAGATACTCCATGAGGCCTGAGTTTTGTACTGAATTTTGAATCCTAGTCGAGAAGTATGATCGCTTAAATACACAGCTGGGAGCCACAGAGTCTGGTTGAGTGTGGAAGACTTGTTCAGAGCTATGCGTCAAAAGACTCAACATAATGAGAGTGAAGATGATGGATTAAAGAGAAGTTACCGCTTGGAACACCGTCACCAGGGCTCCAGGGGAGGTGAGATTACTGTACCCAAGGCAGTGCGGCACAGAAACGCCCACCGCCACGTACCCAGCACGCATGGGAACACAGTCAGAAAACAAATGCATTTCTAAGAGTCATTTCGCGACACTGAATGATTATTTTAGGCCATCATTATAACATTTTGTAAAAACAAAGAAACATTTTATTCCTGGGTTTTAATCATTTTATAAATTTATAAATGAAAGTGAAAAAAGTTTTCTAATCATTGTGATAACTGGCATGTTTTTCAAAAATAATTTTGAAGGTGTTTGAAGATTTAAAAATGTATTAGACTTGAGATTTTAATTAATTTTCACCAAATGTTTAAAAAAATCTTTGATTAATTTGTAATGAATGTTTAAATGTATGAGGAATTTAATTTGTTCATTGTAATGTTTTCATTTATTAGTTTGGTAAACAGCATTTAAATTGTTCCGAGAAATGCTGTTTAATGAATTTACACATTTATGTCATGTGCATGTAATAAAATACAGTGGGGTGAAGCTCTTCTCCATGCACCAGGGATTACCCTCACCCAACTGCAGCTCTGGGACCTCACTCCATGACACTACCAGGCCTCCTGGACCGGCCTAATCCTCTTAAAAACAGCTCAGAGCTGCTGGCCCAGATCTGGAGGAGGAGTCGACTTACCGTATGGGGTTGTCCATCCTGGACACCGTCAGGAAGGCGGCCAGGTTGGCCGTGTAGGAGGAGCACACAATGAGTGTGAAGAGCCACCAGCTGCCCATGACGATGCGCATGGCCACGGAGTTCACCGAGGACTCGCCACCTGAGGGGGCAGGCAGATAGGTTGGCCGTGGCTCCTGCCGCCACTCCCCCCCCGGGAGATGCTCCACCCTGCAGCCAGGCCCCTGGAGATTGACTGGGGGCCAGGGAAGTGACCGTCAGCTGTGTATGGGTCTGCACCAATTCCCGGAAAAGATCCTAGGACCACCACTGTTGGAAAGGGACAGAGAACCACGACGTGGAAAAGCCACTGTTGACCTTCCAGTGACGGGAAGTTTGTGGATACACCAAGAATAGAGTCCGAAACCAGAATCTCCCAGTTACAAGGTTCTAGTGACCAGTGGGAGACCTGCAAGGAGGGCTGCACCCTGATGGAGGCCCCTTGCCAACTTCAAATTCACATGGAATGAACTCCAGAGCTCTGTAAGGAAGTAATTACCTTCTACCTGGCATGTTCCCTAACTTTCTTTCAACTGAGAAGTGAGATGTTTCTTATCAATTTTATTAATATTCAGCCTCCACTACATGACTTTTATCCCCAGAATTGTCAGAAATCATTCCATGTGACTTTCCGTCGGAAGCTGCCTCTTTGAGGCCCATTATTTCTCCTTGGTCTCTTAGGTAGTACCAGAAGAAAGCTTTCCACTGCCTATTCTCCTTAGGTAACCTCGCAAAGCTTTTGCCACGGTGCAAACAAGGCCAAGATTCACAATTGGAGCTTTGCAATTTGCCGTTTCCAGCCAGAATGCACAGTCGCACCCCTCGCCCTGGGAGGAGTGCTGGTCAGATCTCGGAGCCGGAGCCGCGAGGCTGTGCAGCTCCAGAACGGCTCCTCCACGACGCGCCGAACACACTGCGGCGCGCTGCAGTTTGACAGCCTCCCGTGCGCGACAATCGATCTGCTGTGGGAGGGGCAAAGTACAAAGCAGAACTCCAACGTTAATTTTATCTGAAGTGAGAATCAGGATTTGAGGTCGAGTTTCCTGTGGCCATTTCATTTCATTTCTATCTGGTACTACTCAGAGAAATTGGCTACAGCGCTTTTAGTACTAGCCTAGAGAGCAAATGAGATCGCCTGGAAACGACCTGGGTACAAGGCGCCTGGGGTCTGCCGGGAGGAGGCTCGCAGCCCCGGGGCTCCGGAACATCGCGCCCCGCAGTACCTTGCTGCACGAAGGCTCCGTAGACGATCCAGATGGCGCTGTGCAGGGTGGCCGAGGTGGACGCGCGCGGCTGGGCGGCGCTCTGCGCCCTGACCGCCTGGATC